TGCTCTGTTTTTATATTAAGACGTTATAGACCTTTTCTTTGGTCTTGGAAAGTTTCACAAAACTCTATTCTTCCATCATTATCAGATGATCGATTGGCGATGTAAGACCCTATACTGTTGTTATGTTCTGGAATATTGTGTTACTGGTGCCCTGTTTTATATTAAAATGTTATAGACCTTTTTTTTGGTCTTGGAAAGTTTCACAAAAGTCCTGCATCTGTTTGATTCTTAGGCTACATTCTGAATTATCTGTTATGGTGGTTAGTTTTTATATATAGTTCTATGATGGACAGATAGCATGTGCATTTTATTCTAAATGAATTTTTGGATGTAGTTCTTGTCTACTGTTTTATTTGCAAGAGGTCAGAGAACATGTATTTACCTTATCTCAGTCAACATTCTTGTAGAATCTGAATTGTCATTTCATATATTCCTATATATCTTCTCTGACTGGGATTCCATTATCCTGTTAAGAAAAGCATAGTTGCAGATAGTGATTAATGGTCCTCTAAGAAATTTGGGGACAGTTTTTTTTTTTCAGTTGATCTCTTTTTCCCTGGTTAACATTTGAAATCTCCATTTTATTAGGCCTTAAAATATCTATGAACCAATTGAAATATCTATTTTCTTTTTCCTCGGTTAACATTTGGCATCTTACAAGCTGCCTTGTTATGATTCAGCCAAGATTTCCGCCATGAGGTCAATGTGCTAGTGAAGTTGCGGCATCCCAATATTGTCCAATTCCTTGGGGCTGTAACAGATCAAAAACCCTTGATGCTAATCACAGAATATCTCAGAGGGGTATAAGAATAATATGCCTAGCAAATTTCATTTGGAAAGAATGTAAGATTATCCTGTTTTAAAGTAATGTTTATTTGTATCTTCTTTCAGGGTGATCTTCATCAGTATTTGAAGGAAAAGGGCTCACTTACTCCATTAGCAGCTATCAATTTTGCCCTGGATATTGCCAGGTAATACTATCATCTTTTGCAATTATCTACAGCTTATAATAGCACATCCTTCAGAGCTACATTTTCATTGAAGAGTTGGAAATCCTTTTCCAAATAAATCACATCAGTAGATCATGCATATTCTTCTGGAGTGCACATTCTCTTGCTAGCTTTAGTCATATTTTGTTACTAATTGTGAATAGTGCTTATAATTGTTTGTTGAAAGGGTAAATTAATTAATAATTAAAATGGTTTGGGTACAAAGTACTGGTACCCAACTATGCAATGTGATTGTTACTTCAAACTTGGACAATGAGGATGCAACAAAAAGTCCAATTTTAGATATGGTTACAGGAATATGAAATCATATATTCATATTAAAATGTCTAAAGATTATATCTCAAAATACTTGTAGTTTTAATTTTTAATTTATTTTCGGACCTCTAAACTATTTTTGTATTTAGAAATATAATAAATTATTTCAAAGTTATATTAATTTAGATATTTTATTATAAATCTGATATAAGTTGAATAAAGTTTTTTTCTTCTCCTTCTCTCGTTCTCTTTTCTCCTCTTCTCATTTATTGTTTTCCATGTCCCTTGGCCTCCATGAAAGGTGGATGTAGGGATTGCAAGACTGTTCAAAATTTGCAGTGGACCAAGTCAACAATCGCTGGGTTTTTAATCGTGTGACATCAGAGGACTTGGTCCCAGTCATAATATTTTGAAACTTGAATTGACTACCATGAAAGTTAAATATGTTAGCTAAATTATTAATTCTGAGTTTGAATTTTTCTAGAGCTTACAACTTTGCATCAGTACATGTCCATGGTATTCCTAATGTTTATTCTGGGCCCTCTGAGACAGAGGCATGGCGTATCTCCACAATGAGCCAAATGTTATAATACACAGAGATCTAAAACCAAGGTGCACTCAAATAGTGATGTCTTTGTGTTGTTGATGTGGATTGTTCAGAGCTTAATTAGGTAAGTTTACTTTCAGAAATGTCCTTTTGGTGAATTCAAGTGCGGATCATTTAAAGGTTGGAGACTTTGGACTAAGTAAGCTCATCAGAGTCAAGAACTCAAATGATGTGTACAGAATGACTGGAGAAACTGGCAGCTGTGAGTATCGAGTAATGTTTAGCTTCGCCTTAAGTGTAGTTTCAAATGCTTGGCTGAATTTTATTTTTCTTTCCTCTTTGAAAACCAGATCGTTATATGGCTCCTGAAGTATTCAAGCATAGAAAATATGATAAGAAAGTTGATGTTTTCTCTTTTGCAATGATTCTGTACGAGGTAAATGTTCTTTCAAGTAGCAATCTAGTGACCGATGATTGGTTAACTTTATATGTCCTGACAAACTTGTGATTGTATGCTTAGATGCTTGAAGGCAATCCTCCGTTTCCGAACCATGAACCATATGAAGCTGCCAAGCTTGTTGCAGATGGAAAGCGGCCGTTGTACCATTCAAAAGGATATGTTCAGGAACTAAGGGAGTAAGTAACATTAAAAATTGTATTTACAGTTTGACTCTCTGCTGTCTTTTGCTGAAGCCACCAGCCAGTTGGTAGAACGATTTGCTCTATCATACATTTTTATCAATGGATATCAGAAAATAGATTCAGCTGAAACGGAAGCTGTATTTATTATTATTATTATTATTATTATTATTTTTGGTCTAATATGATCTATTCTTTCTCAACCAATTTATTTCATTACCCGAAGTTCAAAATAAAGTGAAATGTGACATATTTATTCGTATTTCTGCTACCAATTGTTTTTTTTATCTTTAAGTAGTTATATCATGATTATTCTCAGCTAATATGTATCTATGACAGAAAGTAATATTTTGTATCTGGTATCCGAGTCTTGCAGCTTGACAGATCATTGTTGGGCTGCCGATATGAACAGGAGGCCCTCCTTTATTGATATTCTCAAGAGGCTCGAAAAGATCAAAGAGAACCTATCATCAGATCACCACTGGAGCATTTTCACCCAGTAAAAACTAGATTTGCTTTAAGCTTCACATTATCATCAATTAGATTTGTGTTTTCCAGGTAAGATCAAAGTGAAACTGCTTCTTTGGGACAATGGCTCATCATGGAACAAGTACACACACAAGTTCTGCAAAGGATTTGTTCACAGCATGCCCTTGCCATGAGGTGTGACCCCTTTTTTTTTTTAATATTTTCAATAATCTTTCTCTTTGCCTCCTTATTTTGGATGAATAAGTGATATTCTAAATTGCTATCAAGCCTGTGGTAGTCATCTGCTACATATGTTGCTTTCGAAGAATTTGCCTCTTTAACTTTGCTACTCTTATTGATATTGTATTGAAAATTTATCATGTAAATGATCCCACAAACTTGGGTGAAGTTTATGGATGTTTGGTAAACCGGCATAGCTAGACATATGCCGTCTACTGTTTGTAACTATGTAAATATGTACATGTTTCTACTTCTTGAGACCACGTCTCAAGATGTAATATTTCTGGTTTAGTCCTACCACCGTAAATGTTTGGATTGTTTTATGAGGTATCGATAGGTGTTTTAGTATTAATTTGGTTTAAATATATTTTGATTAATGATTCATGCTTAACAAACAAAATGAATGGATTGGTTATCCCTTGGGATAGAGTCTGTGATAATTGACATGAGAGCCAACTTAAGTGTTGAAGCAAAATATTTGAGACCTTGCATAATAAGGTGGTTATCCATTAATGGAGAAATATTATAGTGGGCATGTCACAATGTAGAGTCGGATTTGAGACCTTTGTGTAACATCGATTTAGTCTCACATTGACACATAAAAAAGGAGTAATAAATTATTTTTAAAACAAACCGTCATAGCTATTAGACATGCATGATCTTCATCGTATGCTAGTTGACGCGATTGCCAAAATTTTCTAATGTGTTTACTCCTTGGGAATCTGATATATCCATCTAAACCAGTGGGAGCTTTCCATTCATCTTTTTCTCTTTGTATATGCAAAACGTTCGAGGAGATTCTGTTTTTGTTTTTGTTTTTGGGGTGTCTGCCAACAGTATGGGAATATCATATTTCTGTCATAGGCTCGTGACATTCAAGGAAGAGTCAAATGCCCGCTTCTGCGTTTGGCTGCTGGGGATGCTATAGGCTCTCACGCTAGCCAACTCGGATAACCTCCGTGTTGATTTTAAAGGGTGTTTGATCTCCACAACCAACTTCAAAAATACTTGCAACAAATGCATGCCATGCCCGACGACACTGCCAATAAATGTTTGAAGAGTTCATTCCTCAATAGTATAAAAATTCCAATCATTTACGATTAGAAAAATATTATTTAAATCATCTATGGTTTGGAAAATTTTTCTTGGAGATATACATTTGACCTAGCAAAACTTACTAGTTGATTTGGCAAACAAAAATATTTGCTTGATATGGTGTTTTAGACTAAGAACTGAAACACACTTAACTACATGCTTAAAAGAATTTTCTAAGATCAAAATATTAGGCTGTTTTAAGGTTTACTCTCTTACCGACACAGTAGTAGACGGGTGCAGGGAAAAATAAAAAATAAAAATAACGGTGCCATAACTCTCAATACCTCATCCTTACTCTCGCCGACAGGGTTCAGAATTCTAAATGTGGGAGAGACTCAGGCGATTATGTTAGTCTAACCAGCACCAAAATGGTCCAACATAATCCCTTGGTGAGCAGAATTGAGAGTGAAGAACACTCGCCCATCAACTCACTGCGCTACCACCAGAATCCAGAGTTAGAAATACTTCCGGTAAACTTGCCCCCAACCGAATGCTATCCCGATGGCTTCACCTGTAGATGTTCGAAGAAAAAGATCCAAAGAAGCAATGCATGAAGTGGAAAACTACTCTCCCTCTTCTCTACAACTCGGCCACCTACTACTCCACCAAGCTGTTTCTTCCAAAGTAGGGATTACACTATAACAGTAACATTCTTGCTGATTCAAGTGAAGTTTCAATCATGAGAACAATTTATTTAACCTCAATCTTAACCAAACACAAATAATAATAATAAAAACTTCAATGTATGAACCAAATGGGCATTAATAATAATAATAATAACCAGGCTGTTTCTTCCAAGTATTTGCCTAATACAAACATCAATAAAACAACAAGTTCATTTTGTGTGCATACAAAAGCTGTAAACTGTACTATCATATTGGAGGAATGGTGAGCTTGATACCTTAAGCATTAAATCAACTATCAAACTTCAGTAAATAGATGGCATGACTTTATGTTCGTCTAGCTCCAATAACACATCCTCAAGGACACTTTCTTTGGATATTCGAGACTCCATGCTCCTCATATCTGTCACAAGAATATGAACAAGCAAAGAGTGGTTATAAGCTAACATGCATATATGCTTGAAACTGGCTAACCGTCGGATATGCATGCAAAGCTATAGTCATACTCCGCTTTGGAAAACCACAGTTGCTGAAATGATCCAAGAGATGCCAAAATGCTCCCTCCTATCCAAACACTGATTCATACATAATGGAATCCATTAAAACCACCAATAGTAATGTTGTTGAAGCAGACAGAAAAAGAGAAATTAAAAAAAAATTCACGAGTTTCTAAATGGTACAAACTACAAATTGAGATGCTAGCCTGACTATATGTAACAAGAAAGTAGGTTAGTAAAGTGCATGTCACATATTGTGTTCTTGGCCTATTATACACCAGCGACTATATGTTGCACATCAAGCAGCAACATGCAGATGTATAAATTATGTGCACGCACAGCAACAAGAAACATGCAGACGTATAAATTACATTGCACATATGATAAAGCACGCTCACCTACAATATAAATTTATCCATAATAGTCAAACTATTATTAAATGGCAAAATAATGTCTCAAGTTATCATTGTCAGATAGAATGTCATATGATGGACATGAGATGGTTTCAAATAGGTCTTAACATTGAACTTGCACAAGATCTAAACAAGCTTTAAAGCTCAACAGCAAACTCTACTGAAAACACATTGGTTACACTAACAAATGTATCCACAGTTACACACACATGAACAGACAAACGCACTAACAATTATACACATGAATGCGTGCACACCAACACATACACCGTAAAAATTGTCAAGTCCAAGCCACATACCGAAAAAGAAATTCAGAAAAAGATGGGACGTCACCTATCTAGCAAGCACATCACAGTATATATCGCTTATCTACCAAGCATGTTAAACAATTGAAACAAGCTGAAACACAAAGGCCAGAAACCACCCAACGGAGCCAGAAGAAGTTTTCTTGAACTGTTTAAAATTATTAGACACATTAGATATGCTTTTAAAAGACAAATCACTTGGATTGGAGCAACTGGAGTTTAAAATTATTAGACACATTAGATATGCTTTTAAAAGACAAATCACTTAGATTGGAGCAATTGGATTAATGCCCAAAAATATTCAAAAAGTTCAACCTGAATCGCCTTTCTATTGAATTTCCACTAGCCAAAACCTTGACTCGTGCAGCTTGAGGAGCCTCCTGCAAACAACAGAGGCAGTAAGCATCCAACACTTGTGGCCTAGCCAATAAATGCACGTGATCTCCTAAGTTCTGTTTGAGGCATCCCAAAAATGTGTTATACATGAGAAGCTCCAAAAGTGAAATATATCAAGGACAAAAGAGTGTAGGGCATACAGAACCAAATCATTTTGATTTTTGAATGAAATAAAGCTATGTACAGAAAAACATAAATAAGACAAGAAAGATAACCATCATTTATCAGCAGGCCACTAATCCATCCAAGGTGTCAGTTTTAAATTCTTTTGACCTTTTAGATATAGTAGTAATGGATCTTTCTCATATACTGCTAGTTATTGAACTCAGAAGATAAATGGAATTCTGACCATCTTTACCTCCATCAACTCCTTTTCAAGTCGCTCCTTAAGCTGCAGCATTGATGCTGTGCCACCAGCAAGCTGATATGGAAAACATTTATAGATATATTAGGACAAATAATAAAAAGCTACACAGAGAATGTGAAATGACCTACATGAATCTTCTCGTAAAGAAAGAACGGAGTGAAAGAGGATATAATTCATTCCAAAGAATAGATCAATGAGACAAATCTAATTTATATAATTCTGTCAAGAAGATTAACAAGGTTTAGCTTAGGAGATCCATTAGATAAAATATTAATTGGAGTCCAGCTTGTAGAAAGTAAGTTTCTATTAGGATAGAAACATCATATACAATATTAGACTTGACGAGAAAAGAAACCTTGTTCTACAAATCACTTCTTGTTGCCCAAGTTTGAATGTTAACTTAAAGGGTCAAATACTGCTCCAAATTTATGCTTGTAAAAACGAGGAACCTGTTTTTTGTTTTGTTTTCTTTCATTTATTCTGAAAATCACAAGTCACAATTAGTATCATGCTTAAGATTAAGTCATCTTTAAGTAAAATTATTTTAGTCAGAAATGAATTTCCTTTTCTATAAGGATTTTCAATTAATCCTTTTCATTATTCATAAGGCATTTGAGATGGCCGAAAAAGTTTCAGGATTGCTGGATTTAACCAAAAAGGCAATTGAGATACTACTACAAAGATGATTTGCACTAATCACAACACAAACATCAAACAAGATTTGCAAACATCCCAAGGACTAAGAGAAGTCCACAGGGAAATAAATTAGGATCTCAAAATGCAGGAACTAGAATGTCAAACCATATCAGGACTGGTTAGAGTCAACTAATGCTTCAAAAAAAAAACAGTTAGGTATACCAGTATACTGCTGAATAGTTCCCTTTTAATGTCTGCATCACATCTGTTTATGCTCTCGATAACCTAAATGACAAGAATGAAAAAAAATTACAAAATGTATACACTTTATGACAAAAGTCAAGCTAAGCATGCTGAGAAGAATGAATCACCATTTGTGGAAGCCCACTAACAGAAGCGGAACCAGCAAAGCTCTCCATTCCAGGAATTGTCTAACACATGTATTGACCGAAAGAAAAAACAAATGTATCCATTAATTGTCTTAAGCTTACAGGAATAATTTTCTCATATAATAAGAAAAGTCAATCACTCAAATGTCAAATGACAGCAACAGAACCATGTAGCCAACTCCAAATAGTTGATCCTTTATGGCTATATTGTTGTTGTATAATATGAAAAGTCATTCAAGCCGTCCGTGCACACACAAACCATGAAAAAGAAACACAACACTAGGGTGCAACTACACCAGAAAAGTCAACACTGCCTAGCAGCGATTTCAATAGGCGCTCGAGCGAGGCAAGGTGAGGTCCGAGCGCCTTGCTTCATTTCTAGGCAGCACGCTTCAAAGAGGTGCCACTTGGGTGCTTACCCCAGCCCAGGTGTCGGGTGCTTTAAGCAAGCGCCCGGGTTAAACCAGGCAACCGAACCAACGTTTTAGGTCTGGTTCGATCTCAGGTGCTTTAGTTGCTCCAATCGAACCAACTAAAGCACTAATATCAGCCTCCCAGCATCCCTCTCGAGACTTCCCCAACCCTAACCCTACTCGTGATTCTGCCGTCGAGATTTCTTCTTCGTTATCGTTGCCTCTCTCAGCTGCCGCTATCGCTATTGCTGCCACTGCCACCGCTCGCCGCCCCCACTCCCGCTGCTCTCAGTCAACAACCTTGGTCTTCCTCTTACTCACACTCTTCTCACTTCGATAGTATACTGTTAACAGTATACTACTAACTGTATATTAGTAACAGTATTTTTATTTATTAGATTAATAATATATTATTTTGATTTTAATACTATTAATTTTTATTTATTTGAAATTATTGTTAGGTTTAAGGATAATGACAAGTGTACAGAGCAACTCAATAGATTCTCCAATGACATCAGAAAAAGATCCTGCATTGAAGTATAATTATCTAAAGGATCCGAAAGATCCTAATGCAGTGACTTGCATATTCTGCAAAAAGACTACTAAAAGTGATATTTTTAATGTAAAATGACGTCTAGTAGGAAATTTCAAAAAAGCAACAGCTTACAAAAAGTATTCACCTGAGGTAAAAGAAAGAATTGTTGAGTTATATGAATAAAAAGAAGATGCAAAAGAATAAATCTTACGGGAATTTACTAGAAGATAATGTTGAACATCTCAGGGATGAAGAAGAAGATTATTCTATGAGTATTAACCCAAGTGAGAAAAAAGTATACGACAAAAAAGGAAAAGAAGTTATGAGTACTAAGAAGGGTAAAAAAAGGACCGATGGATCTATATATGTTTCATGGATCACAGAAGCAACAAGGGCAAACGGGAGACTCAAAATTTAGACAAACAAATATAAGTGATACTTGTGATAAATAAAATAAGAGAAAGAACGATTCAGCATATCGCTCGCTTCTTCTATAAGGCCGGTCTTCCCCTTAGTACAACTTGTTTAGACAGTTGTATGGAAATGATTGAAGTTACTGGAAGATATGGTGCGAGATTAAAACCTCAAAGTTATTATGAGATAGGAGTTCTATTGCTGCAAAAAAAGTTGAATTATATAAATGACTTACTAAAAGGTCATAAAGAATCATGGGCAACACATGGTTGCTCTATTATGTTAAATGCTTTGACTGACAGGAGACACAGGAGTATAATTAACTTTATGATTAACTATTATTTAGGGACTATGTTTGTGAAGTCAATAGATGTTTCATCTTTTGTAAACCTGGAGACAAAATATATGATTTACTTGACAAGTTCGTGGAAGAAATTGAAGAACAAAATGTCGTTCAAATCATATAACCGACAATGGAAGCAAATATGTATTAGCTGGTAATATTCATCTTTTGAATTTTTTTAATTTTTTAATTATTTTATCTTCAATTAAATGTATTAAACTATTAAGTCTTATTATTTTTGTTATCCTTTGTCTCAAGTAAATTAATTGAAACAAAAAGACAACACTTATATTTGCTCTCCATGTGCGGCACATTGTATTGATTTAATGTTGGAAGATATTAAAAAAATCTGAAACATCAAGAAAACTTTATAAACGGTAATTTTTGTTGTTGAATTTTTTTATAATCATATTAGGGCTTCGGATATGATGAGAGAATTCACATGCAATAAAGAATTAGTGAGATATGGTGTTACCCGATTTGCTACTTCATTCTTGACATACAGAGCGTGCATCGTCAAAAACATAATCTGAGAAACATGTTTACGAGAAATGGATGACAAGCAAATGGGCAAAAGAAGCAAAAGGCAAGAGGACTACTGATATTATCTTAGTGTCATCCTTTTGAAATCATGTAGTTTATATATTAAAGGTAATGGACCCTTATATTTGAGTCCTTCGGTTGGTGGATAATAAAAATAAGTCTGTAGTAGGATATATTTATGAGGCTATGGATAGGACAAAGGAGACGATTAAAATGTCTTTTAATAAAAATGAAGAAAAATATGAGAATTTTTACAATCATTGACGAAAGATGAAATTGTCAACTTCATCGTCCCTTACATGCAGTAGGATATTATTTAAACTCTGAATTATTTTATAAGATTAAATTTGTTGGGTTTGATGCAGAAATTTTGGATGGATTATATCAGTGCATTACAAGATTAGTTTCAAGCCTTGAGGTGCAAGATAAGATTATTCGTGAATTATCTCTATATAAAAATGTCGAAGGTCTTTTTGGAATTCCAATGGCAGTTCGATCCAGGACAACTACGTCTCCAGGTATTAATAATTTGATATAATTAATTTCATCTATAGTATGTTATTATGTTATTACTAATAATAACATAAATTTTACAGTTGAATGAAGTCTATTAAGAAATTTCATCTCGAACTTAGAGTAATTTGCTATCAAAGTACTTCGTTTGACATGTAATGCTTCGGGTTGTAATCGAAACTGGAGCGTCTTTGAGCATGTAAGGATCACTAAATATTTTTATTTCAATTAATTTATTTATTTAGATAGATGTATTAATATATTTTTAAATTATATGACATGACAAATTCACTCAAACAAAAGAAATCGGTTGGAACATTAACGATTACATAATCTTGTTTACATAAAGTATAATCAAACTTTAAAGACTCGTCATGATTTGCGAAATAGAATTGATCTAATCTCATTACAAGATATTGATGTTTTAAATAAGTGGTTAGTGGGATAAATGAGTGTCAACTTGCAAGATGTCGAAAACGAACTTGTATTTGAAAATGATAAATTGACATGGGGAGATGTAGCAAGAGCTTCAGGTGCTAAAGAATTACAAACATATACAAGACAGATGATAAAGAGAAAAATGAGTGCAAAAACATCAAGCTCGACTCATGCTATTGTTGAAGACATAGAGAATGAAACATATTTTGATGAAGAGAAAGGATAAGAGGAAGAGGACGAATTCAATGAAGATGATTTGTGTGAAAATGATGATAATATTGATTATGATGAATGACTTTGATGTAAAATTTTATTGTTTTAAATTTTGAGACTTTTTGTTAATGTAACATTATGATTTTGCACCTTAGATTTTCTTAATTTAATAGCATATTTTTATTTAAATAATTATATTTATTAATTATATTTTATATTTTAGCGTCTCGGGCGTTTTTGGATCTTAGCGCCTAACGCTTTTTAAATCACTACTACCTAGTAAATAACAACATAGACTAAGGTTCTAGATACTTGAGGTCAACTACATGGATTTTTCCTACCAGTAAGCTAAATTTCATAAACAAGAAAACACTGTTAATGGCAATAATAATGCTGTAAGGTCCCAATTATCTGGAGTCAATAGACCGCATGACCCTTTTCTTACAATCGAGAATCAATGGTAATGACTTGATAGAGATAACGTTAATCGTGAAGAGTTAACTATGATACAAATAAATGATATCACATTGACCGATAAGTTTTTGGTGATTAATCTATTTGTATAGGTTTAATGAGGTTCTAATCAAGGAATTTGGTGATAGAGATCCTAATCACCAGCCCTCAGATCTAATTGGGCCTCATTTATGAGTTGGGCCCATAGTCAATGAAGATCTTCAGACCCATTTGCAGCAGTTATTGCAAGAAGACTCCTATAACAAAGGCCAAGAGAAGGAAATGTTTTGTAATAGTTCATAGCATGATCATTGTCCCGAGAAGTATATTTTGTATTGCAAAAGCATATCAAAATTTGTCAAAATATTTGTCCTTTACCTGCACTAGCGACGGATTAAACAAGACATCAGGAATCTTGAATCTATCTGCCCCAATCTCTATAGTTCTGGAGACCAAAATTTAGAGCAGTGCAGATACTTGTCAGTACTAATGCATGCTAACTTGCATTAAATGAAATAAGAAAAATAAAAGTCACAAGCATAAATTAGAGGTTAAAAGAGTTCTGACAATAATATTCAAGTGGTTGTCCATTTGAACTTTTAACCTGAGCAAGAGAGAAATAAGTATTCAACTTACTGCCCATCAGGAAGCTCATAAGGAGTCATAGGAACATTTGCATAACCACTTTCTGCAAAATAACCAGTGTCAGCAACTTTCATATTCACATTCACAAAACAAACTGTGTTTTGAAGTTCTTCAGGAAAATCAAACTATGTAGTGCAACACCTAACCAGAACCACTCCCAACAAAACAAACTTCCATCCTCAATGCACATATGCAAAAGAGATACAGAAAAGCAACAAGAAGAGAATGACAATAAAAGAATATTAGAGTAAGCAAGAAGCACACAACTGTTGAATGGATGTCTTAGTGACTATGATGCCAACAAAGATATGAAATATTTTTACAGTTGTCAATGAAAAATCATACTGACTACTGGCACGAAAAACCACAAAACAACAGTTTTATATTTTGTAAATAGGTTTCCAAAGAAGAATCACCAGAAGCTCCTTAAACCACAAAACATGCAAGTTCTATGCCAAAGTGCAAAATGATAGTTTCAAATTTTATGTTTCTAGCATCATTTACATATGCACAATAGACTCGCAGTTGCTATGTATCTTGTGCAAGTATCAAAACATGATACTCTGACAGAAGAATACAGGATTCACTCATGATCCAAATTGAATTTACCTTCAAAAGCAGTGTCAGGTACTCGGCAAACGGATTCCTTAATGTCACTAGCAATAGCTCGCTGTCAATCAGCAACATTAGCAACAATATGTGGATTCAAGAAAGTTGAATATGTACAGCAACAAAACAAAGAAACAAACTGAACATGTACCTGGGAGTACAACTTGTAACTTTCAGTCGTATTTGGAATATCAAGGTCAACGGTCTGTTCACATGAAATCGAGAAACAAAATAATCAACTTCCTTTACCATGTTTACTGATCAGGTATCCAACAAATATAAACAAGATGCAGAATGCTGCAACAGTACTAATCCATTGTCAGAATTGCATGAGAGCATGGGAAATTTTTTATTTTTAGTAAAACCATGAAAATATGTTCAACCACAAACATGGCATAAGCACAAAATATAACAAACCATAAAGTTCTTATTACATGTCGGTTTACATGATTGAGATAATAGCATGTCTTGCATGCTATATAAACATATCAAAGCAGTTACTAATTATAATATTCTCAATAAATATATATGATTCAAAAAGTATATATAATATGTAATAACTACTTAACTATTGCAAAACATACTCTGTAACGAAAAAAAATATTTGGTGTTGTAAAAATAATGCATTTGAAAAATCTTCATTTTCTTAAATTTATAATCAACCTAATGTATACAATATAATAAAATAGAATGCAGTAGGGATCACCTTAAACTTGAGTAAATATCAATAAACCAAAGAGAAAGTAAGGTACTTTTAAAGTGAACTTGTCTTAAGTAGTTCATTTAAAATCATAGACATGTTCTTCTTTGTTGGTTTGAGGATATTTATGGAAGGTTCTTTCACTCTACTATTTTTTGTTCTTCCCTCTATCGTTCTCTCATGGAGTCTCTCTCCTGAGTTCATACACCAAACTTGCTACCTGTCCTGGAGCAAAAGCACATCCCAAACTGTCAAACCTATAAAATCCAAAGAGGTGTAACTAAACAATTCAGTTGTATCTTATTCATACTTAAATCCAAGCCAAGCTTATCAGCTTTCATGAAAACTAAGAATCACTTCAGGTCCACAAGATAGATATTGCCACGGACACAAACTTAACGAGGATTATATATTAGTGTCAACCTTTTCTAAACAGTACTACCCAATAGGAAAAAGATGGAGTGCAGCTTAAATAAATCTTCATGAAGTATTCATGACAATTGCCAAGATCCCTCATAGTAAAATCTGAAAGAGCATGTTGTCACTCCAACTAATATACAAGAAGTATATTTGTACTAACTCAGAAGGGATCTTTCATCATCATTTAGTCCATGGCATTTGGGCGAAAAATCTGGGTGGCAAAACTTTAGGATCAACTACCCGGAGAAACTACAATCTCCATATCACAAAACTTGAGACCCAACTAAGAGACATAATTATATCTTAACATCATCAAATGCAGTCCTAAAGAAAAGCCGATCTCCTATACATATGACAATGGAGACATGACAAATACACAACCTCAGTAACAAATATTGAACCGTTATTACATAGTTCATTAAATGAATGCCTCAGCAAAGTAGGACAAGAGCAGAAGTTGATTTCTATTGAAAATAATGCTTATTTCAGGACTCTATTTGACAATGAAATATATGTATCAGTGGAAGTTTCAATAGAATCTAACGGAAAAATATAACTAATGTTATAGTGATGTTTGAGAACAAAAGTTTAATGATAAAAAAGATGCAACTCCTTCAAAAATAGTAAACTCAACATTTCAAAAAATTGTCCAAAGTGAGATCTAGAATTCTAAAACTGATCGTTTGTGCTACTGGACTCTTCCAACCCAACATATACTCAAGTAGGACTCAGAAAAAAATACAACTTAAAAATAGGACCCCGTAAAGGATTCCCAAGTAGAAACTATAAATAGTAAATGTATAAAAAATATGCAAAAAAGAGAAAGTAATCTGTCTTGGCTAAGATTATGCTTAATTTGATCCAAAATTCTAAAGCTGACCAACGGTGCATTCAGCTTGGTCCAGTCTTCAAATTCTCAGAAGCCAAATGGATATGCTCACAGGTGTAGCAAATAACAATGAAGAAAACTAAAACAAACAACAAAGGTTACAGAATAGTTAACCAAATAAATAATTTTAAGGCCCACTACTGTGGCAGGATATCAACAGTGAACTACCTGAAATTCACCTGGGCGTATTTCTTTCCGTTTAAATGAATATCTAGGTTTTATCTGAAACAAGAAGATGATCAGAAATCAGGCTTTAAAAGTTCGGCATAGGATATTTAAGATCATGTACATTCAAACTTACCATGACTCCCTTGCTTTCCAAGCTTTTCATCATGCAGTCAGTCAGAAATTCACCTCCAATGGGGGAAGTTGAAACAGCCTGCTTAGCATAGAACGAGTTAGAGCACAAAGAGCCCTTGTTCAACGTGAAAGATCTTTTACACAATACTTCTAAAAGGACATCTGTACCAAGTTAAACTTATTCTCAACCAAGTGATTTGAAGAATAAGGCATGAACACACTGACAAACACACTGAGAAAGGCAGAAAACTGTATTTGTTTCCTTCTAATAGTAATTGATGTCAAAAATTATGAGCTACTAAACAAAAACAGAATAACAGTAAAGATTAAAGCTAGTAAGAAACTTATAATGTCATAATTCTTTGCAAAACAATCTCCACAATTAATTGCAGAATAAGATAGTCCATATGTTAGAACAGGAATAATAATTTTTAACCTCCAATTAGAACAAAAACAGGTAAAATGTTATGAAACAAAATAATAGAAGTTTGAAAATAAAATCCGTAGATGTCACCGTCTCTCCCCCCTCAAGAAAATCGCCCAAGATATAACTGAGATATAGATTCTCCTGCACACATGTTGTGGAGAATCAAGAGGATGCTTTGGCACCAGCAGAACCAAGGTTCACCTTACCGGTCCATATCGATGTACCAACTAACCGTCGACACAGTATGTACCGATGTACCATATGTCGATATACCTAAGCATACCAACGGTACGATAAAATTATTGAAAATAACTCCAAAAATTTTTTAAAATAGAAAAAAATTGGATTAGGGTTTTTAAGTTGAAAATAAATATAAATTTAGTATAATTTTAGAAAAAATAATCTAAATTAGGAAAGATAGTGACACATATTTTTCGGGCTTGCGAAGTAACTTTGTGATACATTTCAGACCTTCCTTCCATTAATATTGAATTACCTACAAAGAGATTATTTGAATTATTAGATTATTTTTTAAATAACTTAAATTTTAAGATTCAAATGAATCAAGCAATCAATTGATCAATTGATGGATATACCTGATTCTACTACCAAAAAGAACGACGAGACTCCACAGGCGATGGATCGGGGACCTCGATCCTATGTACATGTATATCAAATTATCAATTTGATATGATTGTCAAACCAAATCCTGAAAATGATCCCACAACATAATATATTGATATACCGTATGTTATTGGTGCATCAAGATAGTGATGGTCGTAGTCCGATCATCGTGAGCCATATGTTCGAGGTGACTCCTAAGGCAAGGACAATTGTGGTATGTATTGGTGCGGAGCATGGAGAATATCAAAACTTATATTTTCACCACTAATATGTTACTCTGCATCATAAGATCGTACTGCTGCTTGTTGAAATATGACCAACAATCACCGTACTATCATTGGCCATAAGATTCTCCAGAATACAAGGCTGTGAATACAATGAGCTTCACTCTATGTCTACATCGTATAGGCTCTGTCGCATTTGCTTAAAATCATCCCCTGTCTTCCCCTTCCTATTCCACTTTCGTGTATAAACTTGACTAATACCTTAACGAGCTTGATGATTTGAATCTTGGATGGCATATGTAAAACATTGCTCATCGGACCATTGTGTAGGCAGGACCATCGACTCGTCAGTGTCATCACGATCATCGGTGGAGGAACTGCTATCCACGTCGTTGCCATATCTTTAGATCGAGTGGGTTGTTGAATGTGATTGATAATGTGTCTCATCGCCCGACTTGATTCTTTCCAACGGTGCGGATGATGCTACTACCTTCCCCTTTGCCTTTCTTTTCCTTTGCACGCTGGGTGGGCGGCTGTGGCGAAGGAAAGGGTTTAAAAACCATTTTTCTATGGTTCAAACGATCAAATTGATCGTTTGAAATAGGGCAATTTGAGCCCTTAATCAGTAATGGTCGAAATCCGACCGTTAGCAATCGGTACAGACCTCGTATCGCCCAACACAGGATCATGTAAAGGGTATCGCCCGGTAGAGGGCGGTCTGCATACCGATCCCCTATCGGACCGGTACGTACCACCCGTACTGAGTGATATAGCCCAGTAAGACGAACCCTAAGCAAAATAAGCAAAAACAAACAAAAGAATAGGAAACGTATCTTGAAAGAATATGGGCTGCCATGAGTCCACAACATGGCTGCAATGGCTGAAACACCCACTAAATCAATGCATATGCATCACGTGTGCACGGGTGAGGGAGTAATGTATGAAAATTACTCCTAAGGCAAAACGGTAAAAAATCCAAGGCAAAAGGCAGGGCCTTAATTGACGACTTCTTTAAATTCTGCTACGCTTACCTTTTAAAGTCTAAAATGATGTTCTTAATAAATTCAAGATCTATAAGGCTGAGGCTGAAAATCAACTTGATAGAAGATTTAAAATCTTAAGATCCGATAAGGGAGGTGAGTACACTTCAAATGAATTTGATAAGTTCTGTGAAGATCATGGCATAATTCATAAAGTGATTGCTCCTTCCTTACCTAAGTATAATAGTGTAGCTGAAAGAAAGAATGAAATCCTTTTAGATATGGTTAATGCATTGATCCTTAGTTCAATAATACCCCAAAACTTGTACAGGGAGGCCATCTTATCTACATGTCATATACTTAACTGAATTCCTCAAAAAGATAAAGAGACAGCTCCTTATGAACTTTGAAAAGACACAAATCAAGACTAAATTACTTCTAAATGTAGGGATGTATAGCCAAAGTCAATATCTCTGAGTAAAGGAAAAAGACAGGCCCTAAAAATGTTGTCATTGTAGAATATTCACTAGACACCAACACCTATAAATTCCTTGTCGTGAACTCTAGAATTTCTGAAATCTCAAATGACATCTTGATTGAATTTAGAAATCTATCATTTTTTGATAATATATTTCCTTTTAAATCTAGATTGCTACATGTATCTTATGTGATTCTTCTTCTTCTCCTATTTCAATAATTTTAGAACCTACCCTTTATTCTGAACCCAAAAAAAGCAAAAGAGCAAGGATTGGAAGGAATTTTGATGATGCTTTTGTCACCTATATGATTGATGATACACCCAATTCATTCCAAGAGACCATTTTCTCTTCAGATGCTCCTTCCTGAAAGGAGACGGTAAATAGCGAAATATAATTTATTATTAGTAACCATACTTGGAATCTCACTGATTTACGCCTAAGGTGCAAGTGGATCTTCACAATTGAAAAATAGAAGACTCGGCTTGTAGCTCAAGGTTTTGGGCAAAAGGCTGACATTGATTATTGTGACACATACATGCCTATAGCACAAATTTCTACCATTCGAGTCCTACTTACTTTTACTTTTATGTTTTATCTATTAAACTCCTGGTTTATTAAATGGAAGTGAAGACCACCTTCTGCTTTTCTTCATTGAGATCTAGAAGAAGAAATTTATATGGATCAACATGAAGGCTTTATCATGCTCGGACAAGAAGAGAGTGTGCAAGCTGATCCGTTCCTTATATGGACTCAGGCAAGCACCTAAGCAATAACATGAAATTTTTTATTATGTGATTCTATTCTTTTGATTCCAAATTAATAATATGATAATAGTCTTTATTGTAAAAAGATAGGACATAAATTCATTCTATTTTGCATTTATGTTGATGATATATTGATTCATGCTTCTAATCTAGATATGATCATTGAGATCAAATCTTTCTTATCTGATCATTTTGATATGAAGAATCTAAGGGAGACAGATGTTATTCTATGAATGAAAATTCTTTAAATCTTTTGAATCTATACTTTTAGATCAATTGCATTATACTTAACAAATCTTGAAAAAATTGGATATACTGACTATTCAACTATAACTATATACTAATTTAGTTAAAAATATTGGTATCCTGTAGATCAAGAAAGATATTCTCATATCATTGGATCACTTCTTTACTTATCAAATAGAAACAAACCTAATATCTCTTATGTTATCTTCAGACTCAATAGATATTCTCATAACCCTAGTTTAGCTCATTGAAATGCCCTTAAGCGAGTTTTTAGATACCTTAAGGGTACTTTTGATTATGGACTTAACGTTGCATGTATCCGTCTGTTTTTGGAAGCTATAATGACGCTAAATGGATTTTTGATTCTTTAGATAGTAAATCTATATCTAGATATAATTTTACTCTTGGTGGCAGTGTTATATCTTGACAATCTTCCAAACAGACCATAATTGCCAGGAACACCATGGAAGCTAATTTTATGGCACATAACACTACTTGTATTAAAGCCGTATGATTTAAAAATCTGATTTTTTTCTCTCTTCCAATGATCTCTAGCCCTATTCCTCTTATTTTCATTCAATGTGACTACAGAGCTACAATATATTCTTGTAAAAAGAAACTCATAAACATTAAGATGGGTACACATATAAAGATCAAACAAAAGTCAATTAGATGGCTAAATTCTCACTCCGTTATCTTTATTTTTCATGTTAAAACTGATAATAATATACTTGACTGCCTTCCTAAAGACCTAAATAGGACTAAGGTCCTGATGTCATCGAGGGGAATGGGTTTTAACCTAGAATGAGAATTCTAGTGGTGGGAACTCAACCTCTGTAATAGAAGATCCCTTGAGTAAGGTTCAAAGTGGCAATAGCAAGTTGATTGATTGGCTAAAGAGCACATTGGTTAGCACTTCGAAGCAAATAGATAAAGTTTATCTCCAACTCCATCCCTATGGTGATTAGTGCTCTTGTGTAGAAGTATAGGAGGTATGACTCTGAAAGAAAATCGAGACAGTATTTTTCATGAGATGTGGTTCTACAAACATCCTTGGTAGGACTCTCCTATATAAGAGGATTCATAGACGATCACGGTTAAGGATCTAAGCAATCCTCAGATTCTCTTATTAACAAATAAGAAACTTGTGCATGATCATTATCGCATTAATACGCGAGGATGTATTTCACATCGCGTGAGTTAATTGAAGTTTAGATAAAAGGAATGCAGTTCAAAACCTGATTCACTTTATTTCCTTCAAATGGATGCTCAATTCATTAAATGAGTCATCTTTGAAAAGACCTCATTGACTGCATAGTAGAAACATCCACAACAATCTTCATTTTGTTCTTTATTTTATTATTTATTTATTTTAAAATAATTTATGCTTGTTAGAGCATTTAATGGGAAAAACCATAAATTATAAGTTTACCCTTGCTTTTTATTGTTTTAAATTTATGATTTTAACTTCATTTTTATCATTTCTTTTAAAATTACGAAATGTCCTTGCCTTTTTACCATTTTACCTTAGGAGTAAAACCCATATGTTACTCTCTCACCCACACATGATGCATGTGCATTTTCTGTGGTGAGCATTTCAACCCATTGCTGCCACATGGCGCACTGGTAAGCTACCACATTGCAATCCCTAATTGGCTAGAAAACCTATAAAGAACCCTCTTTTCGTAGCTTTTCAAACTCAGCTCCATTACTATCAAACAAAGTTCGCAATACCGTACCATACCGGTATTTCGACCTAGACTCGGTACCGGTACTGTACGATGTACCGAGCGGTACACCCAAGTGTACTATGCACTGTACTGCTACTGTAACTGTGCACTGTAACAGTGCACTGTACTGCTATAATGCACTACAACACTGCTGCACTGCTACAGTGCACTGGTACCGGGTGGTCCGTGTACCGCTGGTCTATCGGACCGGTATGTACCGCCCGTACCGGGCGGTACGATTCGGTATGGCAGACCTTGCTATCAAACCTCTCTTTCAAATTACATCTCCTATTTTTCTATTTGTTTTCTCTTGTTCTACTACGGTTGGGTCCTCCTTATTCTTCATGACGTGTGTGCATGAGAATCTATATTCCAATTATATCTTCGGTGATTTTCTCAACAAGTGACAGCACACAACAGAGTGTACACTTAGAAACAATGACTACGTGCCACTAGGTTTTATTTTCTAACTTCTATTTCGTTTAATAATATTTGACATGTTTTTGTTCCAATAGAAGGTTAAAAATTATTATTCTTGTTCTAACAATCCAAGCATATGTTTAAACAAATAGAAAAGGAATATGCTTAGATTGTTAGAATGGGAATAATAATTTCTAACCTCCAATTAGAACAAAAACAGGTAAAATGTTATGAAATTAAATAGAAGTGAGAAAATAAAACCTGAAGGCATGTGGTCGTTGTCCTAAGTAAGGTCTGCCATACCGAAGCGTACCGCCCGTATCGGGCGGTACGTACCGGTCCGACAGATTTCCGGTACGCGGATCGCCCAGTACCACTATAGTGCTACAGTGCTATACTGTAGCACTGCTACAGTATGAAAAAATAAAAATAAAAAATTGTTCGATACACCAGGGTGTACCACTCGGTATGCCCTGATGTACCGCCCGGTACACCGGTACCATACCGTATCGAGCCCGGGCCGAAACGCCGGTACGATACAATATAGCGAACCTTGGTCCTAAGCATATTCCCATCACCTTATGTTGGCGTTTGTCAATAAGACCACCCAAGATACAATCGAAATGTAGATTCTTCTATGTGCACGTCATGGAGAATCAAGAGGATGCTGCAGCACCAACAGAACAAGCAAAAACAAACAGAAAAAATATGAGATGTAGCTTGAAAGAAAGATTGGAAAGCAATGGAGTTGAGTTTTTTGAAAAGCTGTGGAAAGAAGACTATTTATAGGTTTTCCAACGAATCAAGGGCTGTCATTTGGCAGCCTATGAGTGCGCCATGTGACAACAACAAGCTGAATCGCCCACTGCAATCAACACACATGCATCACGTGTGCATGGTTGAGGGAGTAACATAGGGCATTACTCCCAAGGCAAAATGATAAAAAATCAAGGGCATTTTTATAATTTTTAAAAGAAACAATAAAAAATGAGGATAAAATCGTAAGTTTAAATTCAAAAGTTCAAAAGTAAGGGTAAACCTGTAATTCGTGGTTTTCCCCATTAAATGCTCTAACACCAAACCATGCTAGAGCAGTGCTAGATTGTGCCTTGGCAAATGCTGCCAATGTGTGGCACCACAAACAACCTTAGCAGCACAAGAAAAGCAAGGGACACCAAAATCCTTTTATGTTAATAAATTAGAATTAGTACCTAGTCATGTATCCGTATGATCATGACAGAATTGGAGAGTGAGCACTAAGAACTCAAAACACAGCAGATAAAACAATCCTACATAAGTCACGTTCTCATAATTAAAAAATGCAGAATTGATAATTTGAGAAGCAGCAGACAAGGTATTTTACAGATATATCAACTTGAAGTGTTTAGGAAGAAGCCAGAGAGTATATTTTAGATTATGAACTGATAAAGATAGAATAAGGCAGAAAAAGACAAGTACTATGCTAATAAATTTAGAAACTGAAGATTTGACAGGTAGAATACCTATGCCAGTCAAAGACATCTCAAAATCTAAAGCAAGTCAAACAGTCAAGAGAATTTTAGTATTTTAAGTTCAAGAAAGATAACTTCATCACTTTCAGGATGCCAAAATGAGATGGCAGGTAACCATACTATCAGGACAGTATACGCTTAAATGATTAAAGCTTTCACAAACAGATAATTACCTTCTGGAGCACATAGCCATCATGTACTGCTGCTATGGTTGTGGACCCACCCCCGCTGAGCAAAGGGAAAAACAGAACTATTACTAAATAGCTAATATAAGGCACTGAATGTCTAGGCTTTCTAAGATCATCAGGATATATCAGTAAGAGATCATGGAAGAAACATAATATGGGAAACAAGAAAATTCTCATCATCGAATTTAATACTACAAACCTTTTAAGAAAAATAACAAAAGCCAACTACAAAATTACAAGAATATATAGAATGCAGCATCAGAGTATCACAATTGTACAAGGAACTTCAGTAACAGAAAATACAGAATTGGATGATGACACTACATAATGATTTTTCTCATCAACTGCTGATCAATTTGTGGGACATAAGAATGTGACCTTGTGAAATTTTACAATCATTCATGTCAACATTTAACTTAAACCTAACTTGCCACTTAGATGAATCCGAAAACCAAATGAATAATCTTTTAAAATTACCTGATCAGGCAAAACTATTTAAGCTAATAATCAAGGGCTATTATTACCAGAGTAAGACCTACAGTGATGTTGCCTGCTCATAGATATCATAGAACTTACTAGGCAGAAATTTAGGCATTGAATATCTATCATTACACCAAGGTCTTGGATACCTTTTCATGGAATTATGCAAGATAGAAATTACCAGTTACAGATCAGTATCTTTAGTTGTCTTCTTATACTGACTACTAAGGTATAAAGACAAAACATATAGCTTTACTATCTGATACACTCAAATACAAGAACTTTGCATGTCAATGTTCTTAGTTTACTTCATCATGCCTTAGGCTTGATCTATTTAGTTGGAGGTGGTTCGTAAAGGTAAAGAAGTTTTCAACTGAATTACTGATACACCACCAGTATTTTTACCAGAGTACTATTTCTACAAAATAAGGAGCATGAACAAATATTCACTTGATAAAGAAACATAAGTATCATTTTTCACTGAATCTAAATAATCCAAAGTTGCTAAAAAAAAGTTTCATTTGTGCATGCAAAAACACCATAATATATTTTAAATGCCCTCAACTTATTTACCACAACTCAGAAGCCAAAATGCCCCAATCGCCAGCAAAACCTGTCTAATAGCACATAGGGTGATTTTGATAAAGAGCTTCATAGAAGGCACGATAAGAACTTATATGAATGATGCCAGCAAGTAAAATCAAGTTACTTAGGTGAAAATGAGGTTGACACCAAACATATAACCACATCAAATATATTCATCAATAGAACTGCCACATACAAACTGGAAGACAAAAAAAGTATAACAAATAAATTTAAACATTAGGTCCTACCTGTCAACTACCAAAGATGTAGCCCGACCAGAAGCAAAAGATGTAAGGACCTAGAAATTTTGACCAAATCATCAGAAGTAACAATTGAATTTCTATCCAGAAGTGCAACTGAAGAGAATGAAGGAAAAAACACATGTGGAATACACTGATTGTGAGTATAGGAGAGACAAAATCATACAGCATTTTTAGCTAAAAATAAAGCAGGGACTTTGTAACTCTCAAACATAAGCTCAGCTGCTCTGCAAGTCAAATAGTATGAGTTAGAAAAAGTAAAATAAAAAAACATGTCAAACATTAGAACCAAAGTAATTCAACAGCTTGAGGCACAATAAGGCAGTAATATTTCCTGAAGCCTAGGTGCAAAGCAAGCAAGCACCTCATTGAACAAAGGTGCATTAAGGATGACAAGTAATTAGAATATGATTACAAAAGCTATTTTGTTCACTGCAGAACTCATGAACATGAAGAATATGAAGATGAGGTTCACATCTTGGAAGAAGGAAGATTACTGTAGTAATGTAATAGCAAAAACAGAAATGCAGCAAGAAAAAAAAGCTAAAATAAAATAACAGAATGATAAAAAAAAGATAAAAATATAAGCACAGAAATGGCAGAAGGAATAAAAAAGCAAGAGTAGAGAAATATAAACACAACAAAGAAACAACACTCAAAAGCTAAATTTGAGTTGACTTGTTTTTTACATACATGCATCTTTAGTCCACCAAGTAAGCTAAATAATTGTAAGTATACATCATATTCCAATATGATAGAGATCATGTAAAATTATGATGTTATCCATTGTGGCTGCCAAAACAAAAGACTATACAGTACAAATCCTACAGCCTTGAAAGCATATATGCCTAGATTACTTCTAGTGGCATTTGGCATAGGAATGGATAAAGCAAATTACTTTTCTCTTTGTTGGGGAGTGTTAAAAGATGGTTCTGCAAGTAGCATGGGATGTTCTTTTGGATCAATTAGAAGGCGTTCCCTGCAAAGGATATCACACTAACCATGTTATTAATTGTCAAAAATGATAAAATATTGTGCTCACGGAAAGAAAAACATATAGCACAAACAGTTAACTTTACTAAATATAACCAGTTTGCACATTTAGTATAATTTCAGCTGACACCTACTTCATTAAAAATACTTCCAAGTATAAACATACTCTGTCACATAAGGAATGTCTTAGAAACATTTTATTTCACCATATACAAAGCAAATTCTGTATCATGGGTAAGATATGCTAGAAAATAGGGTCTCAGGTTCCATGCCTCCTCCCAAAACATATTTAATGGTATTTCTGTGATCATAACAGATCAAATGAAAGCAAGTACAAAAGTAATAAGAAGAAAATATTGTGCTCCCAAAACATGCTGTTGGTCGTAGCAATCAGGTTGTGATGCTTAAAAGATTTAGAATATTTCATGGCAAGAATTGACCTACCTAAACCTGTAACAAGTTGGCTAGAAATCCTTGTAAGGGCAAGTGGAAAGAGAAAAAGAAGCCTAGTTGATTGTAGATCAAAGATCTTCTTTACTGCAAACTTAGAAGCACAATCCATATAAAAACGCATGGGAACATAATATGAGAGGCAAAGCAAAGTATACCATAGCTAACTTCAGTCACAAAGCAAGACAACATATAAAGAACATGATGGGTCAATGGAGATATCCTTCCTTCAAGCTAATTGTTATTATAAATAATTTACAAAATCTTCACCGATAGCAGTCTCACCTGAAAGCATGATTCCATATGTTGTCAACAATGTCCCAGTCAACAACAACTCCATCCTTTATGGGGGATATAACCTACATCAAAAACAAAGATGGCACAAGAATCAAGATATAGGGATAAAATCTCATTCGATAGTACTATAAGCCTTCTGGTAGCCTGACCTCCATGTGATCACGCCTATAGCCTAAGGCTTGAGTGCCTACATACAATTTCCTTGTCTTTATCTTGTCAGCATTTTCAGAATCATACATTGAATCAGAGTCCTTCTCATGTTTAACCTCATCAGTGGCTCCCGCTTGATAAATTGACCCCACAGCCTTAAAAAAACAACCCATATATAACAATAAAACTTGCACCAGAAAAATAAAATGCAATGAGCAACTGTAACATACTAAAAAATTACAGTACTAAGAAAAACAATTGTGGGAATTTTACAGCATATCTTGTGATTGTCCACATATTTCTTGAGCACTGCATCGAACTCAAGAACATAGTGCAAATTATGGCTAGATATCCTCTGCAGTCACAGCTCTATCCTCTAAGGAACAACAATACATAATAGATAAGTACATGAGACAGATTATGAGCCATTTATCCAGAATAGCACCAGCTGAAGCGATGAATCAGAGACCAGACTAATTTGAGTTGTAAGGGTCTACTCTCACCACCATTAACCTTACAAAATGCTTCACATGCTGTTATTCAGAAGCCACCATATACCACTTCTATCCGTTTCTATTTCTTTCTTAAGTTCTGTCTCAGTACTAATCTACCGAAATTGTTGAGAATGACTTTTCAGCTACATTCAAATGCAAGACACAGTTCGCCATCAAGAGGTTAGTTCAAGTGTCTCAAGAGTCTACGGTAGCAGGATGACTGCATCTGGTAACTCATAACAGTTTCGGGTTCTCAAGCCATTTTGGAGCAAGTGGTCAAAATGTCAAACAGAAATTATGTGTAGACTGCAAGGACAAACGAATCAACGCGCCAATGAACGCACTTACAGAGGGAAAAACAGCCTTAGGGGCATCTTCTCCCGCGTACCCAGCCTTGCATGTGTAGGAGCCCAAGTCGAGAACTATCGCCGACACTTCATCTACAAGCGAAAATACAAACAGCGAGCCGATGAGTTCACAAGGGGCACTCCGTCGCGGCAGATCAATTGGGCTAGGGTTTTGGGAGAAAAAGGAATGAACGGACTCACCGCCTCCGTACATGGTTCCTCGCAAGAGAGCAACTGCCCCGGTTGTTCGGAAGAAGCGAGGAGGGAGGAATCGAGAAGCCCTAAATCAACGGAGAAGAACACCGGGGCTCGCACCGGTGCAGATCTGACGAATTGCGCGCACTGCTGACGGCGAGGGGTTTCTAATGGGTTTAAAACTTTTAAGAGTTGTGCCGATTATATATA